GTACGCAGGCTCATCCTCTGGCGTCCTCTTTGCGTTCCCTCAGACCGCAAAGGGTCAGCAGCGACCCCGACCCACCGCAGCCTGGCCCCGTCCCTTTGTGTGGGGCGCTCGCTGCGGCGGGCTCGGGAGGCCTCCGAAGGCCCCGCCCCGGGCCACCTAGGGGCGGCTCGAGCCCCGCACAGCCCCGCCCGCTCCGGGGCTGCGGGAGTCTTACCGGGGAGAGCTGCTCGGCACCAGAACCCAGACCCGAGTTACCCCCCGCGCGAGTGCCTCCGCCCCGCGGCCGACAGCCCCAGCCCGGATGGCTTCCCGGAGCCCACCGAAGCCACCACCTCCTTCGCCGCTTCACAAAATGGCCGCCAGTCTGCTCAGCGACTCCGCGTTCCAGAAGGGGGCGGGACGAAGTGGTTGACGTCACGGGGCGGGGCAGCGCAAGCGCACTGAGGCTTTCGCGCTCTCTCCCGGAAGTTTGGCTTGAGTGGGGTATACAGTTGGTGCTTGCGACCTTAGGTGCGTGACGCTGCGCGGTGGCTACAAGTGTGCCACTCAGCCCGTTACTGTAGTATTTTATGCATATTGCTTCACTTCTTGGAGTCTCTACGAAAGGCGGGAAATAGTGTCTAGCTCGAGCTGTTTGGAATATTAAATAGACCAGAAACTGGTGGTTGCTTCTATTGATAATGTCAAGTGAAAACCTGATTGTCTTTTCCCTGCCGCCACTTATGACGCCAGCGACCCCTATCAGGGAGCATGTTCGCGTCCCTGCGGTTCTGTTTCCTCTCCAGCTGCCTGCTGGGAAGGCAGCAGAAGACAGCACAAGCATTTGGGCCCCTGCCACCCACGTGGGAGACCCGGATGGATTAGCCTGGCCTAGGCCGGCTGTTGTGGCCATTTGGGGAAGGAACCAGCAGACAGAAGATCTCTTCCTCCTAGCCCCCAGTGCCATCGCTGTTTTTCAAAAACAAAACAAAACAAAACAACAACAAAAAAAACACATCTTTTCAAAAATGCAGATGGGGTAGGCATTTAGCATAGTGGTTAAGATGCCACTCAGGATGCACGCATTCCAAATAGTAGTACCTGGGTACAACTTCTGGCTCTGCTTCCAATTCCAGCATCTTTCTAATGTGCACTGTGAGGCAGCAGGTGACCAATGGCTCAAGTATCTGGGTCCCTGCCGCCCACCTAAGAGAACCGGACTGAGTTGTGGGCCCTTCAGTTTGGGCCAGCCTTGGCCGTTGTGGCCATTTGGGAGATGAATCAACAGATGGAAGATCTCCTTCTCTCATCCTTCTTTCAAATAAACAAATAAATCTTTAAAAATACATTAAATCCAGGAAGACTACCCACCTTCAACTATGCAGAGCTGCACTTTATTTTTACTTATTTATTTGAAAAGCAGAGGGACAGAGGAGAGAGTTTCCTCTACTGGTTCCTGGAACTCCATCAGGCTGCCATGATGATGACAGGGTCCAGAAGTACTTGGACCATCGTCGCAGCCTTCCCAGGAAGGTTAGAAGGAAGCTGAATCTGAAGCAGGGTAGCCAGGACTCAAACCGGCACTTGGCTATGGGATGTGGGTTTCCCGAGATGTAGTGTAACTGCTGTACCACAATGCCCACCCCAGATAGCTGTAATTTAGTATTATTATTAAGGGGAAAAAAAAAACACAAAACTCTACCTATTCCCAAGCCTCTTAGGTCCTACTTTCCTTCCCCAGACTCCATTACCCCTACCTATTATATACTATTTCATGATAAATCGTCCCATAATTGAACACGCAATCCAAGTCAGAAAGTCAGGAAACAACTAACTGTCAAAATCAGGGCCTAAGTTCTCAAAACTCCAGCATGCTTTTAGGAAGGCTTGTGTGGCAAATTGACTGAAGCCAACTCAACACGCCAAAGACAGCAAATTAAAAACAAACAGATCACACTTTTTTTTTTAAGATTTATTTATTTATTCAAAAGTCAGAGTTACACAGAGAGAAGACAGGCAAGGAGAGAGGTCTTCCCTCCGATGGTTCACTCCCCAATTGGCCGCAACGGCTGGAACTGTGCCGATCCAAAGCCAGGAGCTTCTTCCGGGTCTCCCACGTGGGTGCAGGGGCCCAAGGACTTGGGCCATCTTTTACTGTTTTCCCAGGCCATAGCAGAGAGCTGGATGGGAAGTGGAGCAGCCAGGTCTTGAACATGCGCCCATATGGGATGCCAGCGCTTCAGACCAGGGCTTTAACCTGCTGAGCGACAGCGCCCGTCCCAACAAATCACACTTTTAAACCAAACCTAGGAGCCAATGCTGTGGCATAGTAGGTTAAGCCTCCATCTGTGGCACCAACATCCTATATCGGCACCGGTTCAATTTCCAGCTGCTGCACTTTTTTTTTTTCTCCAAGATTTATTTACTGGAAAGGCAGTTACAAAGAAGCAGAGGCAGAGAGAGATAACCACATCAGCCAGAGATGGGCTAATCTGAAGCCAGGAGCCAGGAGCTTCTTCTAGGTCTCCCACGAAGGTGCAGGGACCCAAGGACTTGGGCCATCTTCCACTGCTTTCCCGGGCCACAGCAGAGAGCTGGATCTGAAGTGGAGCAACCAGCAGCCGGGACTTGATCTGGTGCCAGCACTGCAGGCCATGACTTTACCCGCCACAGTGCCAGCCCCTGCTCGACTTCTAATCCACCTCCCTGCTGATAACCTGGGAAAGCAGTGGAAGATGGCCCAAGTGCTTGGGCCCCTTCTTCCATGTGGCAGACTTGGAAGAGGCTCCTGGCTTCAGATCAGCCCATTGTGGCCATTTGGGGAGTGAACCAGTAGATGGAAGACCTCTCTGTAACGCAGTCTCTCAAATAAACAAATCTTTTAAAAAGTAAAAAAGTCAAACCTATACTTTATATATTGCTTGTAGCTATAAGTTAAAAACAAAACTTACTGGGACCTGCACTGCAATGCTGTAGTTAAAGTTCCAGCTTAAAGTGCCGGCATCCCATATAGGTGCCAGTTCAAGTCCCAGCTGCTCCACTTCCGATCCAGCTCCTTGCTACTGTGCCTGGGAAAGCAATGGAGGATAGCTCAAGTGCATGGGCCTCTGCACCCACATGGAAGACCTGGAAGAAGCTCTTGACACCTGGCTTCCGTTTGGCTCAGCTCCAACCGTTGCAACCATTTGGGGAGAAAACCAATGGATAGAAGACCTCTCTCTCTCTCTCTCTCTCTCTCTCTCTGTCTCTATCTCTCTCTGTAACTCTGTCTTTCAAATAAGTAAAATAAATCTCTTTTTTTTTTTTTTTTTTTAAGATTCATATGTTCATTTGAAAGGCAGAGTTATAGAGAGGCAGAGTCAGAGAGAGAGAGAAGGAGAGGTCTTTTATCCACTGGTTCACTCCCCAAATGGTTGCAACTGCCGGAGCTGGGCCAATCAAAAGCCAGGAGCCAGGAGCTTATTCTGGGTTTCCCACGCAGGTGTAGGGACCCAATGACTTGGGCCATCTTCCACTCTTTCCCAGGCCATAGGATCTGAAGTGGAGCAGCTGGGACTTGAACTGGCACTCATATGGGATACCAGCCCTGCAGACCACAGCAAATGCCCCTAAAATAAACCTTTAAGAAACAAAAACAAAACAAACAAACAAACAAAAACCCTACCAAATACAATGTGGTGTCAAATTGGGTCCTAGAACAGAAAAAGGACTTTCCTTTCAGAAATCTGAAAATCAAAAGTTCAGATAATACGAATGTACCAGAATTAATTAAGTTTTGATAATTATATCATGGTTTTTATGATTTCAAAATTTAAGGAAACTGCTAATACTTAACACTGTACTATCTGTGCAACTTCTCTATAAATCCAAAATTACTTAAAAATTTTAAAAGGTTTTATTTAAAAAAAGAAAAGCTTGAGGTGGGCTTTTGGCACATCATTAAGTCACCATTTGGGACACCCCTATTCCATATCAGAGTGCCTGGGATAGAGTCCCACCTCTTCTCTTAATACTTTTTTCTTCATAGCAGTTATCACAATCTGTAATAGTCTCCACTGTTTACTCATTTTCCTGTTGTTCCACTAGAGTGACAACTCAATGGAGAAGAGTGTCCTTTCAGGTTCTATTAAACAGTGTGCTTCCAATACTTAGAATAATGTCTGGATCTTGGAGGTATTCAGGTAGCTTTTCTTTTCTTTTCTTTTTTTTTTTTTTGACAGGCAGAGTGGACAGTAAGAGAGAGAGACAGAGAGAAAGGTCTTCCTTTTGCCGTTGGTTCACCCTCCAATGGCCACCGTGGCCAGCGTGCTGCAGCTGGCGCACCGAGCTGATCCGATGGCAGAAGCCAGGTACTTCTCCTGGTCTCCCATGGGGTGCAGGGCCCAAGCACTTGGGCCATCCTCCACTGCACTCCCTGGCCATAGCAGAGAGCTGGCCTGGAAGAGGGGCAACCGGGACAGAATCCGGCGCCCCGACTGGGACTAGAACCCGGTGTGCCGGCGCCGCAAGGCGGAGGATTAGCCTAGTGAGCCGCGGCAGCGGCCAGCTTTTCATTGTAAAAGATTTATTTATTTGTTTGAAAGTCAGAGTTACACACAGAGAGGAGAGGCAGAGAAAGAGAGAGAGAGATCTTCCATCTACTGGTTCACTCCCCAATTGGCTTCAATGGCTGGAGTTGGACAGATCCGAAGCCAGGAGCCAGGATCTTCTTCTGGGTTCCCGGTTTCCACATTGATGCAGGGGCCCAAGGACTTGGGCCATCTTCTACTGCTTTCCCAGGCCATAGCAGAGAGCTGGATTGGAAGTGGAACAGCTGGGACAGAACTGGTGCCCATATGGGATGCCAGCACTGCAGGCGGCAGCTTTACCCACCACGCCAGAGCGCCGGGCCAAGGTAATTGTTTAATGAAGATATGCAAACCCCTGAGTCATCTGTGGAGACCAAATGGAAGGGTAGTCTCCACAGTTTCCCACTGCAGCTTCCCCTTCTTCCTCAGCTTCTCAGAAAGTTAGAGTACAAAGAAGAGAAAGGGAATTTATTTCTCCAGTTTTCAAATTAACAAATACTAAGGAAAGAAACATAAATTATTAGAATAATGGGGTAGAATCATAAAGATATTTCTAGCTCCACTGGGTCAAAAGCAAATGAGGAGGATGAGAACAGAAAGGGGAGAAGCCATCTAACAAGTCTACTGTTTGGTCTACAGTCAATGTGGAGATACATCCTCAGGAGCTGTGAAAGATTAAGTTGAAGTTGATTCTTCTTGTTGTTGCAGCCAGTCCAGCTGAGCAGCAGAGAGGGAGAACTGATATGTCCATAGAGCACGAGGGTCCCTAAACAGAAACCCTTTTCTGGTTCCTCTTGCTTTCCCCACCAGGACTCAGGCGTGTCCAGAAGTAGTATCATAGTGAATGTCTCTATTGCCTCAGAATAATGTCCAAGGGAAAAACAGCTTCCCTGTGTTTCTGTCCTGGAGGCGGGCTGAAGTCAACATACCAATGCAGGTTTGACCGTGAGACACCAACTGGGTATAACAGGGTTCCTGGCTGTGTGAGGGTCCATGAGATAGGAGGGGCCAGGCTAGTACAAAGTCAGGCCCACTCTTCTAGTGTTGGGTCCACTTGATGCTCTTGAGGTCAATGCCATCCTGCACCATCTCCCAGAGAGGGCTGTCAAAGAGAAGAGGCACGGAATGAGTGAGGAGTTAAGACAGAAACCAGACAACACTGGCTCCAAGGCCCTGAACAATACCTCATCTCCTTCTCTGGCTCTTGCATTGGTAGCCCCCAACATGGGTGGTTAATAAGTCTTTTCCAGCTACTTATCTGTCCTTGTCAGCCCTAGCCTCTCTCCAACAGCCAATAAAAGAATAATAAGGTGCCCCCAACTCAAAAGCAATGGGACCCTAAGCCAGTGTGCATCCAGCATAGTCACAGTCTTGTCACGTCATGGTCATATTCTGATCCCACTTGTGGGATGCTATGGATCAGTCTCCCATGGGAGAACCAACACTCATGGGACATGTACAAGTAACAAGTGTCAACATCTCTGCTAATGCCCACCACATATGGCTCACATGTTAGCACCTGTTTCTGGGTTTTGCTCTAATTCACAGTCAGAGCAAAGCCTAGGCCTGTACCATATAGGTATGCAGTGCCTTACACAATTCTTGCCAGCTGGATCTCCCCAGAGTTAAACTGTGCTTCCAACATCCCTGGCTCCAACCTAAAAGGACCTCTGGAGTCAGGCCTGAGCATCCCCTCTCACACAAGAACTGCTGCTGAGAAATCCCTGCTCCAATCCCTTTCAGCATGCAAGTTTTGGATAATGTTCCCGAACAAGATTAGCTCAGTGTGCTATGAACGTGAGATATTGTGGCCTGGATTTCCCCAGTTAATTTTCTTCTATTTGATTTAATTAAAAAATTTAAAAGAATTATTTATTTGAAAGGCAGAATTACAGAGAGACAGAGGCTCAGAGAGAGAGAGAAAGAGAGAGAGAGAGACAGGTCCTCCATCTGCTGGTTCACTCCCCAAATGGCCGCAACAGCTGGAGCTGGGCTGATCCAAAGCTAGGAGCCAGAAGCGTCTTCCGAGTATCCCTTGTGGGTGCAGGGGCCCAAACACTTGGATCATTCTCCACTGCTTTCCTCGGCCATAGCAGAGTGCTAGATGGGAAGTGGAGAAGCGGGGACTCGAACCCGCTCCCATATGGGATGCCAGCACTACAGGTGGTGGCTTTACCAGCTATGCCACAGCACTGGCCCCTGATTTAATTCTGTTCTTGGATCATCCTTCTCTTTTATAGTATGTATTCCCAACATGCCTGTCTGAGACTTTCCATGACCTCTTAAAGTTAGCCATCTCCTTCCTGTGCCATCTCTTTAGAGGTCACATGATTACAGTTTAACAAAATAAGGCAATGGCTGAGGGCTAATCCAACAAAGGTGAATTCAGTTTGTAAAGGGGCAGAAGGAATGGGGTACAATCATGTAGCCATACAGATAGGCAGAACAAAGCTTTCCTAGCAGAATGGTCAATAGAAGTGTCTTTTGACTGTACTGGGGAGCACCAGAAAATTAGGACAAAGAGGGCTGAGAAAGCTGAGTAAGCCATAGATACTTAAGCAATACAGTAGACACCAGGAAGGAAACTGGGAAATATTAAGGTCTGGGAGATGGCAAAGGGAAGCAGGCTGTATGCCTGAACCTCTTCATTCTACCAACTAGGTGGAAAGACTCTTCAAAGTTGAACAAGGACAGAGCCACGCTCTGAAAATATGCAGTCCTCAGAGTTCCCAGAAGGAAGCTGAACTGTATGGCTACTAGAAGAAGCTCTGGTGGCAGCTCACTGGTCAAGAATCTCTTGACCTTTACAAAGAAAACTCTGAGTGTGTCTAAACATTTTGAGAATCTGATGGGAACTATAGACTTTGAAGGAAAATGCACACTTATGTAACACTTATAACTTGAGGACTACTGTGTACCTCCTGAAGCCAGCCACAGAACCCAAATTAAGAACCCCTATCTTAAATGAGTTTCTCTATACTTAGTATAATAAATCACGAATTTCATATTGATATGACTGCAAGATGCCTTAGTACTATCTATAACACTAGTGAAAAAATACCATTTACATTTGTGTAGTCCTTTATTTTTTAATGACACATTCTCATATTCTGAAAACAAGCAGCCAAAGAGATCCGCTTGATTGCTTTGTGGAATCTCTAAATCCTAAAACTGAAGCACTCTCAAATTTTTGTTTCTGGCAGTGTGAACACAGAACCTAAGGAAGAGAAGAGACAAGACTGTAGTTTCTTCCAGCGAGTCTCTGGTAGGGGCCTGTGCTGTGGTGTAGTGGGGCAGGCCTCCACTGTGGCACTGGCATCCCACGTCTGAGTGCTGGTTCTGCTCCGCTTCCGAACCAGTTCCTTGCTATTGCATGTGGGAAGGCAGAGGAGTGTGAGACCCAGAGGGGACTCTAGGCTCCTGGTTTCGGCCTGGCCATTCGGGTGAATGGAAGATCTCTGTCACTTCCTCTCCCTGTGTGTGGGACTCTGCCTTTCAAATACAGTAAATAAATCTTAAAGAAAGAGGTTTTGATACACAAGGACATACCTCATTTCTCGAAGTCGCTTCACGTGATGAATACACTTCTCTACCGTGAAATCCACTTCCTCCTCTGTAGTGAAGCGGCCAATGCCAAACCTGAAAAAAACACCGAAGAGCTCTGTGTCAGGTAAGTTCGCTCAGCAAACACTCGCTGAGATCTATGACACAAAGGCACAGAGAGAACCTGGTCCTTCCCCTGTATGTCAGAGTTTCTCAGAATATGGGCTAGGGGCCATCCACATTAGATGCATCCGAGAGAAAGTCTCCTACTCCTCCTCCTGACCTAGTGAACCAGAATACTCAAGTGTGGCAATTGTGTTCACAGTGCTGTATCTACCTCACTGAGCTCCAACCCAAGAAGTAGGAGGGGAAAAAAAGAGGGCTCTTGACCATGGGTTGTGCAAAGTAGATGCCCACAAATCTACCTGTTGTGCAGCACCCAGGGAGCAAGTAGCGACAAAAGCCTGGCAAGGCCGGCGCCGCGGCTCACTAGGCTAATCCTCCGCCTAGCGGCGCCGGCACACCGGGTTCTAGTCCCGGTCGGGGCGCCGGATTCTGTCCCGGTTGCCCCTCTTCCAGGCCAGCCCTCTGCTGTGGCCTGGGAGTGCAGTGGAGGATGGCCCAGGTGCTTGGGCCCTGCACCCCATGGAAGACCAGGAAAAGCACCTGGCTCCTGGCTCCTGCCATCGGATCGGTGCGGTGCGCCGGCCGCGGCGGCCATTGGAGGGTGAACCAACGGCAAAGGAAGACCTTTCTCTCTGTCTCTCTCTCTCACTGTCCACTCTGCCTGTCAAAAAAAAAAAAAAAAAAAAAAAAAAGAGTGAGCCCTCCACTGGAAGGGTTAAGAAAGATCATCTTTACAGGCCTGGTGCTGAGGCACTCCATGAACTTGGACATTGTCAGAGGTGCAGGAACTTTGGATTTGCAAACACTCCCCTTCCCCTAAAGCAAGACACTGCTCAGGACTTCAGCACTTCAAGAGTGCAGCTACTGGTGTTCGGCAGGATGCAGTGAGGCTTGTCTAGTTGGCCTTCTTTACGACACCAACCTGTGTGCTTTCCATGCCAAACATGTAAAAATTATGCCAAAAGACATCCAGGTAGTATGCTGAACATGTGCTTAAGAATCCACTAATGGGGCCAGCACTATGGCACAGAGGGCAAAGCTGCCCGCCTCCCATGATGCTCGCATCCTATATGGGTGCTGGTTCGAGACCCAGCTGCTCCACTTCAAATCCAGCTTCCTGTCATTGCGCCTGGGAAAGCAGCAGAGGATGGCCCAAGTCACCCACGAACGAGATGCAAAAAAAGTTCCTGGCTCCTGGGAAGACCTCTCTTTCTCTCTCTCTGCCTCTGCCTTTCTGTAACTCTGCCTTTCACATAAATAAATAAATCTTAAAAAAAAAAAAAAAGAGAATCAAGAAGAGAGGGGCTGGAATTGTAGTATAGTAAGTTAAGCTTCAGCCTGTGGTGCCAGCATCCAGGTTCACATCCCAGCTGCTCCTCTTCCGATCCAGCTCCCTGCTATGGCCTGGGATAGCAGCGGAAGATGGACCAAGTCCTTGGGCCCCTGCACCCATGTGGGAGACCGGGAAGAAGCTCCTGGCTCTTGGCTTTGGATCGGTGCAGCTCCGGCCGTTGTGGCCATCTGGGGAGTGAACCAGTGGATGGAAGATCTCTCTCTCTCTGTCTGTCTGTAATTCTGCCTCTCAAATAAATAATCTTAAAAAAATAAAATCAAGAAGAGATAATGAGAATGGGACTGAGAAAGATTGCAACAGGAGATGAGATTTACAAAGGACGCCATTTACAGACATTGCAGCTCCACTCCCTCACCTGATAGAAGAGTGTGCTAAATCCTCATCGGTGCCAATCGCTCTAAGGACGTAAGAGGGCTCCAGCGATGCAGAGGTGCAGGCACTAAGGAGAGAGACACACGTCTTGCTTAGCTTATCATCAGCATCTGCTTCTAGACACAAACCTCTAGTCTTTCTCCCTTGCTCACCCTGGAGTCATAGCACAGAGACAAAGGGGCTGTCTATTCTCGGAGAGTTACAGGAACCAATGCTGCCCTGCACATGCTGGGAACTGAATCTGGCTACTCTGGCCCCTGTGATGCATAACCTCCTTGAGCAAGTACACTGCCAAAGTGTGAACCAGCAGCTAAACCCTTGGAGGCCTTTTAAGCAGTTCAGTTCTGGAGAAGTGCCGAACTGCTAGTGTAACCCTAGGACAGATACATAGTTACACATTCCCAGGAGTCATAAAAGGTACAAAAATTCTCCAGGAAGCCCTCCTAGAATGGTAAACATCACCTGTGCCCAGCCAGTTCCCACTGCGAAGTTAAAAACCAGCATTGCACTTAGAAGCCATGCACATCAGCCCAGTCAGTCCATTTAATGATCCAACTCACCTCCCTGAGGATAAGGCGACATCTTTAAGTGCCATGAGCAGACTCTCCCCTTCCACATATGCAAAGGAAAGGTTGATACAACCTACAGGGAAGAAACACCATGAGACAGGTCCCAGAGTCCCAGCTTATTCCAGAAGAGGGATAGAAAGTGTATGTTCATACCAGGGTAATGCTGCTCAGGGTCTCCGTTCATCACCACATCTGGAAGGCTCTTCATTATCTTCTGCGTCAGCCGCTCTGCTAACTTTGAAATCCGCTCGTGATCGTACTAAGTAGCAGGCAAGGAAGACTAAGCCCAGTGGTCCCCAGGCAGCTCAGAAACACAGTTTGAGGAACCCTTCTCCACCCAGAATTCACCATACATCAGGCCCATCTATCATCCTATATACCCAAGGGTACTACTGTGTCACCAGAACTAAGCATGGCACCTGGTTAGTGAAAGGTACTCAGTACTGAGCACAGCTATTAGCTACTAAAGGGGCATGGATTTTGGAGCAAGGTGCCAGAAAGCATTAGGACAAAAGAGGGTTTTCGTAAACTTCCTCTTCAGGCAGAGAGCTGATTCAGTCATCCCAGGACCCTTTAAATAAGAAAGCCAGCACAGGGGAAGAAGTAATGGGAGGGAAGTGCTCTCCCCATACCTCCATCTCTTGCTGGGCCACCTCACACGCAGCCCCCATCCCCACCACCAGGGGTGTGGGCACTGTCCCAGACCGCAGACCCCGCTCCTGCCCGCCTCCGCTCTGCAGGGCCTCCACGCGCACACGGGGCCGGCGGCGGATGTAGATGGCACCAACCCCTGGGAAACAAAGTTTGTTATAAAAAAAATAAAAAAGAGAGAACACGGATGAAACAAAATATCATTTTCCAAAGGTGTCAACAAATTATTTCAACTTTTCTGTAAGCTTGAAATTTTTCTAAATAAAAATAATTTGAGGAAAAAGAATAGCAATAAAAGCACAATTTACACTTCTTTTAGATTTTTATATTTTGTTTATTTAAAAGGCAGAGTTAGAGAGAGAGAGAGAGAGAGAGAGAGAGACAAAGATATTCCATCCCCTGGTTCACTCCCCAAATGGCTGTAATAGCTGTTGTTGGGCCAGGCTGAAGCCAGGAGCTTCTTCTGGGTTTCCCACATGGGGACAGGTGCCCAAGGACTTGGGCCATCCTCTGCTTCTTTCCCAAGCCCATTAGCAGAAAAATAGTTGGGAAGTGGAGCAGCCAGGACTCAAACCAATCCCCATATGGTATGCCAGCACTGCAGACAGTGAGTTTAACTGGCTGCACTATAGTACCAGTTTGCAAACTTTTTAATTATGTATGTATTTATTTGAAAGGCAAAGAGACCTTCTATCTGTTGGTTCACTCCCCAACACCAAAGCCAGGAGCCTAGAATCCAATCCAGGGTATCCCGTGTCCTTGGCAGCTACAGAAGTAATTCAGCTATCATCACTGTCTCCTGGGGCATGCAGTAGCAGGAAGGCAGAAACAGAAGTAGAGCCAAAACTTGAACCCAGGCGCTTTGGTAAGGGGTGTGGGCCTCCCAATCAGCATCTTAATGTTGACAGAGTACAGAGCAGGTGGGAAAGACAGCCAGATCTTCCATGTATTCATTCACTCCCTAAATGGCACAACAGTCACGGCCGGGCCAGGCGGAAGCCAGGAGCCTGGAACTCCACCCTGGTCTCCCACATGAGTGGAGGGGCCCAAGTAGATCAGCCATCTTCTGCTGCCTTCCCAGGTGCATTAGGAGGGAGCTGTACCAGAAGTGGAACAGCTGGGACTCTGATCTGGGATTCTACATCACCGGCTTACCTCACTGCACCACAACACAGGCGACTTTAAATATCCAAGTGAGTTCATTCTTAAAGACTGAAATAATGTTGCATAATTTGGAAAAAGATATATATTTTATTTATAATCCAAAATTGGTATCAAACACTTTATGAAACTAGCATTTTTTTTTTTCAGATTTCCCAGCAAATACCACTTTCACTTGTTTTGATTGTTTCATTGTCTGTCACAAGAAAACTTTCCTTTTTGAACTGGCCAAAAAGGTGGGGTATATGAAAGCTGAATGCTGGACACTAGCAGTTAACTGCTGATGTTATTCTATGATTAAACCATTTCAGATGTAGGAAAGACAGTCTGACTGTCTGTAAACTTCTTATTCTTTAGTACATGTGGATGTTAAGGTCTTCTATTGCAGTTGCCTTATGTAAGTGGGGTGTTGTGAATTATTTGCTTAGCATGGTTTATTACAATGTTCTGAACTTTTCAGCAGCATGGTAACTCTCCCTATATGGTAAGCAGGCTACTGACACAACACTTTTTCTAACCCAAAATAATTGCACTGTATCTTTCTTTGTAAAGCCAACAGGAAAGATCTTGGCCAATACGACATAATATTACCCATTCCAAACACTTGGCTAGGGAGGACAGAGTCACAGCATAGCAGGTTAAAATGCTGCCTGTGGCATGGGCATCCCATTTTGAAGTATTGGTTCAAGTCTTGGCTTGAAACAATTCTGATCCATTTCTGCTCCATTTCTGATCTGGCTCATTACTAATGTGCCTGGGAAGGCAGCAGAAGATAAGCAGACAAGAGGGGGCTGGCGCTGTGGTGCAGTAGGTTAATCCTCTGCCTACAGCACCGGCATTCCATATGGGCCACAGCTGCTCCTCTTCCAATCCAGCTCTCTGCTATGGCCTGGGAAAGCAGTAGAAGATGGCCCAAATGCTTGGGCCCCTACACACCCATGGGAGACCCAGAGGAAGCTCCTGGTTCCTGGCTTTGGATTGACCCAGTTCTGGCTGTTGCAGCCATTTGGGGAGTGAACCAGCAGTTGGAAGACCTCTCTCTCTGTCTCTTGCTCTCACTGTCTGTAACTCTACCTTTCAAATAAATAAAATCTTTAAAGAAAAAAAAAAAAAGAAAGAAGATAAGACAAGTACTTGGGCCCTTGTACCCACGTGGGAGACCCAGGTGGAGTTACTGGTTCCTGGCTTTGGCCTGGCCTAACTCCAGCCACTGAAGGCTTTTGTGGAGTGAACCAGCAGATGGAAGATCTCTCTCTCTCTCTCTTTCTCTGTAATTGCCTTTCAAGTTAATAAATACATAAATAAACTTTTAAGAAAAAAGGAAACCTCTGTAGAAAGTCAAGGGCACAATGGCAAGTAACAGATGATACACACTGTGGTAAAAACACAATTATTCCATCTCCATATGGTAAAAAAGCAAACTTGAATGTTTCATGGTTATACCCTATAATATTAAAACAGTGCTGTTAAAAACAAACAACTGGAGCTGGCGCTGTGGCATCGCAGGTAAAGCTACTGCCTGCAGTACTGGCATCACACATGAGCACTGGTTCGAAACCTGGCTGCTCCACTTCCGATCCAGCTCTCTTATGGCCTGGGAAAGCAGTAGAAGATGGCCCAAATCCTTGGGCCCCTGCACCTGTGTGAGAGACCTGGAAGAAGACACCATCTTCAATACTTCTAAGAGCTAGTCCACCATCTCCCACAGGGTGTGACACATCTTGGAGACACAGACATCACTGAAAAAAAAGCCCTTACCCCAGATAGGGAGAAGTCAATTTTTATATGGCTACTTCCACAGAGGACAATAATCTCTCCCTAGTGGTCCAGAAGAAGAGGCAGACCTCAACCTTGCAAACATTCCTAGGCCAACAGAACCACAGGGAATAGTCAGGAATCCTAAGAGACCAACAGGAGCACAGACTCCTAAGTCTGTTAGGAACAAACACCAAGAGATGTTAAAGGCCATACGATCTGCCACTAAGCTGAAGCAAGACCAGGGGAATGAAGGACTCAAAGACTGTTCCTCTGAACATCATATTAGGGCAGACAAGATACCTGGACACAGCTAACTAAATTTGATTTGACAAAACTTCTTGTTCCTCAACACAATTAATATCTACATGCCTTCTGAGGATTTTCTAGTATAGAGCCAGGAAGAATGTCCTGTATATATACATAATAACTGCTGGGGCTTTTGAATAGTTGAATGTTTTTTGGCTATTGCTAAATGACATTCACTTTGCAAGGTACTATGAAAGTACAACTTCTTCTAAAAGCAATGATAGTGGGGCCAGCATTGTGGCATAGCAGGTAAAGCTGCCTCTTAGGATGCTGGCGTCCCTTATAGGCACCAGTTTGAGAGCCATCTACTCCACTTCTAATCCATCTCCCTGCTGATACTCCTGGGAAAGCAGCAGCAGATGGCCCAGGTCCTTGGGCCCCTGCATGCATGTGGGAGACCTGGATGAATCTCCTGGCTCCTGGATTTGGTCTGACCCAGCCCTGGCCGGTGCGGCCATTTGGGGATGAACCAGCAGATGAAAGATCTGTCTCTCCCTCTCTCCATAACTTTGACCTTCAAATAAATAAATAAATCTTTTTTTTTTTTTTTAAAGACAATGATATCCCCAAATGACTCTAAGGAACATCTGTCAGAGGATTTTCTGGGAGCTACAAAAAGGAGGAAGTACAAGAAGCACTGGCACCTTTGGGACCATAGATTTTGTGACCACTGATGCTCATGAGATCAATCTTCATGTCGTTGACATCCAGTGGGATTTTTCCAACAGCCTGGGCTGCATCGGTATGAAAATATACTTTTTTGGAACTGCAAATCCTCCCTAGGGAAACAACAAAGGGGAGGACTCATAGCACAATGTGGCCACGTCACACAGCAGCAATCCCACAATACACCAAGAACTGTCTCTACTCACATTAAATGACCTCTGCCAATATCATGTACAGTAAGTCCCTTCCCTCATCCTTTTCTCTCTCCCCTACCTCCCTTCCACTCTACACCCCACTCCCTTTCTCTCTCTTCCCAGTGGAATAAAAAGATGAAAGACAAGGCACCAAATCAAAACACCCCTTGATGTGTTTTTTATTAAATTCTATTTTGCCCCTGATATTTTGATACATAAGACTCTTAGAGCCTCATGAACACCAGCCTTTCAATATGTTGAATTACCTTTTAGATCCTTTTTGATTTAAAAGAAACAAAGGATTTTATTTATTTATTTATTTATTTAGGCTAACATACCTAAAGAGATTATAGGGTAAGCTCTAAGCAGGGATAATAGAGACATGTTCTAAATTGGAAAAACATGAACGGGAAAACGGGCTGAGGATTTCTGTTGTTGTTGACAGCCACTGCAATAAAATGAAAAAACACACAGGGTACTAAACATGGACTCAAATACTAACTGTGCCACTTACAATGTCCTCGAACAAGGTACATAAGGTCTTTCTTTTAACTTCCTTACTGTATTCTACAGTGTCACAGCTCCCAGTCTACCCGTGCTCCCTCACATTGACTCAGATTTGGCAAGAATCAGGGTTAATCCATGATACTCACCTATCTCTGCAATAGGCTGCTTCACTCCAATTTCATTGTTCACAGTCATGACGGAGACCAGGCTGGTATCTGGCTGGATGGCGGCCTCTAGTTCCTAAGAATAAGGAGTAAGGAACTACGGAGTGCCAACAAAGTCCTCCCTAAGTGAGAATGTAGTCAAGCTTAGTCTTGAAAAGGGCTCTTTGTCAGTGTTGTGGAGTAACAGGTTAAGCCACCAAATGTGAGGACAACATCTCCTATGAACACCATATTGAGCCCTGGGCTCCACTTAGGATCCAGCTCCCTGTTAATAGACTTGGGAAGGCAAAAGAGATAGCCCAAATATTTGTTTCCATACACCCAATGTGGGAGACCTAGATGGAGTTCCAAGTTCCTGACTTCAGACTGGCCCAGCCCCAGCCATTGCAGCCATTTGGGGAGTGAACCAATGGAGAGAAGATCTCTTGTTCACGCCCTCTCTCTCCATAATGCTGCCTTTCAAATACATAAAACAAATCTTTTTTCAAAAGGTTCCTTCATTATACATCTACCAGAATGATTAAAATAAAAATACTGACTGTTGGAACAAAGGTATAAGCCTCAGCCATTCTTGCTCATTGCCTAAAAGAGAAACATTGGAATGCATTCCTTGCCCTTGAATCTCAGTTGGGTCTCACATTCAGTAGCCTTCCTCCCCACCCTGCATTCTTTTCTGTGTTCCCAAGGCCCTGCCCAGTTCCAGGAATTCCCCTCTGCCTGCAGCCCCTGTACCCCCACCTCCATCCCTAGCCCTCCTAAAGTATAAAAAGGTCCAGCCCCTGTGGGGTGGGGCCTTCTGCCACATGTCCTATCTTGTGTATGGTGGCAGTTGGTCACCCACCTCCTTGAATTTATTTTCTCTGAATAAATTTGGTCTGGCCATAAATTTGTATACTGCCTCCTCTCTATTTTGCACCTCCTTTCCTGACAACACCAAGTGCTGATAAAGATGCAGAGAATTTGGATTGTTTATACATTGCTGGTGGGAATCTAAGATAGTCCAGCAGTTTTTATTTATTATGAAGCTAAACATGAAATAATATTACAACCTAGTAATTCACTTTTTTTTTTTTTTTTTTGACAGGCAGAGTGGACAGTGAGAGAGAGAGAGACAGAGAGACAGAGAGAAAGGTCTTCCTTTTGCCATTGGTTCACCTCCAATGGCCACCGCGGCTGGTGCGCTGCGGCCAGCGCATCACGCTGATCCGAAGCCAGTAGCCAGGTGCTTCTCCTGGTCTCCCATGGGGTGCAGGGCACAAGCACTTGGGCCATCCTCCACTGCACTCCTGGGCCACAACAGAGAGCTGGCCTGGAAGAGGGGCAACCAGGACAGAATCCGGCGCCCCAACCGGGACTAGAACCCGGTGTGCTGGCGCCGCAAGGCGGAGGATTAGCCTAGTGAGCCATGGCGCTGGCCTAGTAATTCACTTTTAGTCATTTAACTCAGTGAAATAAAATTAAATTCACACACAAAAAAACACTTAACTGTCCAAAGTACCTTTGCGAATAATTGCCAAACATTAGGAACTACCTAGATGTCTGTGACAGGTGCATAGTTACAGACAACAGGGAGTAGATTCAGCACAAAGGAACAAACTGCTGCTGCTTGTAACAGTGAATGAGTCTCCAAAGACAATGCTAACTGACAATGCCAATACCAGCAGGTATCTAACTTATGGACTCCATTTATATAATATTATGAAATGACAAAATTAAAGAAACAGAAGACAAATTAGTGGTTTTACAAGAACAATGCAAAGGAACAATGGGATGATTAAATCACTTGTATTTTTTTTTTTTTTTTTTTTAGGATTTATTTATTTATTTGAAAGAGTTACACATAGAGAGGAGAGGCAGAGAGATATTGTTCATCTGGTGGTTCACTCCCCAATTGGCTGCAATGGCCAAAGCTGTGTCAATCCGATGCCAGGAGCTTCTTCCGGGTCTCCTGCGTGGGTGCAGGGGCCCAAGGACCTGGGCCATCTTCTACCACTTTCCCAGGCCATAGCAGAGAGCCGGATTGGAAGGGGAGCAGCTGGGACTAGAACCGGTGTCCATATCGGATGCTGCGCCATAGCACCGGCCCTTAAAAAGAAAACAGGTCTCCCACACTGGTGCAGGGGCCCAAGGATTTCTGCCATCGTCCATTGTCTTTCCAGGCCATAGCAGAAAGCTGGATAAGTGGAGCTGCTGGGACTGCAACCAGTACCCATATGGGATGCCAACACTGCAGGAGATGGCTTTACTCACTAAGCCACAGCACTGGCCCCAGACATTTGTATCTTGACTATGGTGGTGGTTACACTAACTACATACACATACGCATAGGAGTACAAGTGAAACTGAATATATCAGAAAAAGATTGGCGGACTGTATCAGTGTCACTATCCTGGTTGTGATGGTGTACTCTACCTTCTTAAGGTGTTATTGTGAGGAGTCAGATGGATTAATAGGCAGTCTGGAAATTGAGGGGGGAAAATGTTCCCCCAAAAGTTATCCTTAGCAAGGCTGCCCACTCCTTGGGAGCTTCCAATCTTATTGTGAGAATAGCAAAGGAGTGGTGACTCCACCTTCCTGAGCTCACAGTTTATTGTGAAAACAAGATACCCATTCCACTCTTTGGATGGCTTTCATGTATTATCCAGAGCAGGCTAGACAGGATAAAGGATTGCAAATCAGGTCTTCAGATGGGTTTTGTCCCTAACTTGTAACTGAAGGTAACTTGTAACTGATTGACCAATCTGATTGGTCAGTTTTTTTTTTTTTCTTTTCAAAATTGTCCTTAAAAACTCCATTGCCAACAGCCCCCTCCATGCAGCTCTGGCTGGAGCTCTTAGACTCTAGTAAAACTTGCTTTTAAATCTCTCTGCTTATCTGCTTAGAGTTTCTTCTTCCATGTGAGACAAATGGAGGTAATATCTCCACCTCAATCTCATCCCAATCATTACTATTAAAGAAACTGGGGGCTGGTGCCGCGGCTCACTAGGCTAATCCTCCGCCTTGCGGCGCCAGCACACCGGGTTCTAGTCCCGGTTGGGGCGCCGGATTCTGTCCCGGTTGCCCCTCTTCCAGGCCAGCTCTCTGTTGTGGCCCAGGAGTGCAGTGGAGGATGGCCCAAGTGCTTGTGCCCTGCACCCCATGGGAGACCAGGAGAAGCACCTGGCTACTGGCTTCGGATCAGTGTGGTGCGCCAGCCACAGCGCACTGGCCGCGGCAGCCACTGGAGGGTGAACCAACAGCAAAGGAAGACCTTTCTCTCTGTCTCTCTCTCTCACGGTCCACTCTGCCTGTCAAAAAAAAAATTTTTTTTTAATAAAAAAAAAAAAAAAAAAACTGGGAGGGCCAGGGCTGTAGCTTAATCCTCCACGTGTGGTACCTGCATCCCATATGGGTGCTGGTATGTGTCCCAGCTGCTCCTCTAGTGATCCAGCTAACTGCTTACAGCCTGAGAAAGCAATGGAAGATAGCCCAAGTGAATGTACCCCTGCGCCTGTGTGAGAGACCTGGAGGAAGTTTTGGCTCCTGGCTTCAGACTGGCCCAGCTCCAGCTGTTGCAACTATTTGGGTGTGAACCAGAGAATGGAAGACCTTTCTTCCCATCTCTCCTTCTCACTGTCTGTAACTCTACCTCTTATATAAATCAATAAAATCTTTTAAGGGGCGGTGCTGTGGCTGAGCGAGTAAAGCAGCTACCTGCAGTGCTGGCACCCCATATGGCCCCGGTTCAAGTCCCAGCTGCTCCACTTCCTATCCAGCTCTCTGTTATGCCCTGGGAAAGCAGTAGAAGATGAACCAAGTCCTTGGGACCCTGCACATGAATGGGAGACCTGGAAGAAGCTCCTGGCTCCTGGCTTTGGATTGGCGCAGCTCCATCTAGTGCAGCCATCTAAGGAGTGAGCCAGAGGATGAAATCTCTCTCTCTTTCTCTCTGCCTCTGCCTCATAACTCTGCCTTTCAAATAAAATAATTTTTTAAAGATTTATTTATTTATGTGAAAGTCAGAGTTACACCAAGAGAGAAGAAGAGGCAGAGAGAGAGAGAGGTCTTCCATCCATTGGTTCATTCCCCAATTGGCTTTACGGCCGGAGCTGTGCTGATCCAAAGCCAAGAGCTTCTTCCAGATCTCCCACTCTGGTGCAGGGGCCCATAGCAGGCCATAGCAGAGAGTAGCATCGGAAATGGAGCAGCTAGGACTCAACTGGTGCCCATGTGGGATGCCAGCACTGCAGGAGGCGGCATTACCTACTGTTCCGTAGTGCCAGCCCCCAAAATAATCCAGTCTTTTTAAAAAATCTT